CTCCTGCCCCAGCCCCTGAGTCACTGGGGTGGCTGGTGTGTGACCTTGCTCTCTGTAGTTTTGGTCCCAGGGCTCTCAGGCAGTGCTGTGGCAAGAAGGAGTAGAGAACTGGGGTTACAATATTCAAGGGAAGTGAACCCCAACGTTGATCAGTGCATCTGGGTTGGCCTCTTTAAATCAGCCTGGAGGCATGGAGCTGTCCCCACCTGACCATCCTGGGCCTCCCGTCCTGGGCCTCCCATCTGGGAACTCGGGGCTTTAAAGGCACATGATGAAGTCATTTCTGCACGGATGTGTAAAGCAAAGCAGCCATCTTCCTGAGTCAAGGAGAGTCCGCATTAGTAAATGCCAAAAGTCAGAAATACACAGAAAGTTAAATAACACTGACCGATGAGCAAACAGGCAGTGCCGTACACACTGAAGTCGAAGGAAAGAAGTTACAAATACTGTGAGGATTTAGATGTGGGGAGAAAACTGTGGTCAGGACAGCCGGCGTGGCCGGTGCTGCTCAGGAGTTGCCCTCGTCTTGTTTCCTCTCCAGTGTGTGCAAGAAGCTGAGCCAGACGCCACTGCGCAGCCCGAGTCCCAGGGGAGTGACCCTCGGCAAGACTCAATCTGGGGTCTGTCTCTGCCTCCCTGGCCAGACAGTGAGGTCGGGCAGCACCTGATGCCTGGTCCACCCCATGGGTGGCCCCTGGGATGCATGTTCTTACAGGTAGCAGGTATGTGGGTTGTGAAGGCCACAGTGGCCAACAGGTACGACAGTGGCCAATGGGGACGACAGTGGCCAATGGGGACGACAGTGCCCGGGAAAGCCCAGGACTGTGGCAGTGCAAAGGGACCCAAAGATCCAGTCTTCTCCATGTGGTGGGAGGAAGAGCTACAGACCACAAAACCCTGGAAACCCTGGAAGTACACTTGTGATCCAGGTTCTGGAAGGAAGGTGCTGTCCCTGCTGGACGGTGGTGTGGACATGGGGAAGGGACCAGGGAGCCCTGGCTTCCCTGGGAGGAGGTGGGCTTGGAACCCAGACCCCTTGCCAGGTGTGTGACACTGAAGTCACCTGCAGTGAACCACCTGACTCTGGAGATGCCACACGGGACCATCTAAGAGGCCTCCACTAGGAGCCTGAGCTGTCCCCACCTGACCATCCTGTGCCTCCCATCTGGAACTCGGGGCTTTGAAGGTTCATGATGAAGTGCTGACAAAGTCAGGAGGTGCTCAGGTTGACGTTCACCTTGACCTCTCCAACTTGGCAACGTTGGAAATTCCTGTCATGCAAACCAGAGGGTCTCTTCCCTGAGGGACCTTGACAAGGTGGCCCTTGGGAACGTTGGAGGTTCTGATTATCTAGCACATTTTCTTAAAGGACCATCCAGGTGTTTGATCAGTATGTTTTTTTAAATGATGGACTCCAAACTATAATAATGTGCAAATACTCACGTTATTATACCATTTGTCAAATGCTTTCCTGGATATGTATAATAAGATTTTCATCAGAATCTTGTGAATAGTAGTTAAAATGAGAATAAGACTTTGTACACTAAAGAGACAAAGGACCGAGTCCCAGAGCAGGAGCCCACGTGCTACGCAGGCCTCAGGGAACCTGGACCTCCGTGTCCCGGCTCCACGTCCCACATCTCTCGAACCCACCATGCAGCCCGGCCCAAAGCTTGCCCATTTCCAGTTGAGATTCTCGGTTTACTTCTCTCCTCTGGGTAAACGGGGAGAGTCGCTAGCACCTAAGTAGAGTCTACGGTTGTACCCTTACTGGTAGAGGCACCAGAAAAAGAAGGTGTCAAAGTCCTCAAGACGCCAACATTGGCGATGGCAACAAGGACTCCCATTGGTAAATGCACAGTAAATAAGAATCATTCCTTTTTTTTTTAAATACCTACGACACTGTTTCAAAAGAGCCACCGTCATCCCTGAGTCCTGGGTGGTTGGGCGACGTCTGCCCCTGCTCTTCCCTGTGGCATGGGCTGCTGCCCTCACCACCTCTGTCCGCAGGTGGCTGTGGGGGTGGGCATGAAGAGGTGGCACTGTCCCCGGGGTGGGGGCAGGGAGGCCCAGGCCAGGTGTGACCCTCCTCCTGGGCAGGCCGGGCTGCTGCTTCTCAGAGCCGCGGGAAGTGGAGCCTGTGGCCCTCTGTGAGGGCAAGCTGGCCGGGAGTGGACGACAGGAAGCTGCGGTGGGTCAGCCTCTGTCTCCACCAAGGGCCCAGGGGGTCCAGCCAGCTGCCTGCTGCCGGCGTGTCACAAAGCCCTGCCAGGACGGGAAAGCACATGGAACTTGGACCAAACTCTTTTAGACGTCAACTCTGTGGCTCTTAGGTTCGGAGGTGACTGTCCCCTACGCTTCCTTTCTGGTCTCAATGGAGAGAGTGTGGAAAGTGTGACTGTGGGGTGCCTGGCCCTCAGGAGAGCCGAGAGATACGGGTTTCCTCAAGGCCTCAGACATTTTCTAACTGCACAAATAGCTGGGGTGAAGGAAGGGGGAGGCCAGTGGCGGGAAGGAGGGGCTGAGAGGGACCAGTGTCGCGTTTTCAAGGGACTAGGTGCCTGGCTGTGTCCTGGCTCACCACAGAAGTAAACAAAAAGACTCCGGGCTGAGGACTGGTGGAGCAGGAAAGTAGAAACCTGGGCACCAGGTCATGGGAAGACCTGGGCTGCCGGGATTCTGCCCCTGAGTTTGACCTTGAACCCGGATTTAATCAACTTTGGCTGTGATGATCTATAAGTCACAAGAAAATGCAGAAGACTTTAGAGGGCTCTTTAGCTCTACCCCTAAAGGCCACCCCAGAATCGCCCACTGCACCGCGGGGTCTCTGTGCCTGCCCCCCCAGGCAGGAGGGCCCCAGGGAAACAGCCTGGGAAGCCCGAGCTTGGCCGCCCCGAGCTCCCCCCGTGGCTTTGAGAAGCGGGGGATTGTCCCGGGAGGTTCCAGCACCGATCTCAGGCTGAATCCCCTTGATGACAACCAGGGAG